TGATCTTTTGAGGACTATATTGCTTAGAATTTAAAAATTGCTTGACTTGAGAGTCCAATACTCTTTGTATGCCTTATGGATGCCATTTAGGAGTAAATTTTTTCGAAAGATTGATATCTTGCTTACATTTATGGTCCACTTCATCCTAATTTTGTGATTGTTTTGAGATTCACTCTAGGATTCTACACTAGCACAGGTGCACACTAGCATTCAATTGTGTGGTATATGCTTTGCTGATTATTGAATTGGTTATATCCCAATTGGGCTAGTAGTAGTACATTGAAAGCTTTCATCTTGATAAAGGTGGATAACAACCCCTTTTCATTGAGTAGCCAGGATTCTACCCTCATCAAGCACTGAATTTTTCGCGCCGAAAGGTGGAGGGCCCAAACTTTAGGTTAATAATTGGATCTAAAAAAAAAAGTTGCAAAAGCAATAAAAAAGTGAGGACTTCTCCCAAAAGGTGAGAAGTGGGAAATGATTAGATAGAGGTTGTTTTAATTTGTAGGCTAGTTGATTTGAGCTTATAAGTCCTTAGGGGTGTTTGAACGCACAATGCCCTAAAGCCGTCCGGTTTGGGAGTCATTGACCTAACGCTCGACCTCATGGATCACTAGAAAGTTTAATAGATCAACACATTACACTATGCTTCCATCTTTGATCCTTAGGGATAGTTTAAAATAAATTAAAATTAAAAAAAAAATATCGAGTGAAAAGAATAAGCGCACTTAGAACAATAAAACTTTAATAAAAGGTCCACTCTTTTTTTTTTTATGATCGGGACTAGATTTGTGTGCTAGTTTGAGGGTAAGGATGTGCTCATTTCTTTAGTTGGCTTAGATAGCAACATACTTGATGCCGGTCGACTCAAAAAGGATTCTAGTGTTGTTTTGATTTGCATGATCATTTTCTTGATGTGTGGAGGACCATACTTGCTTGCTTGATGTTGAAATTTTGGGAGATTGCTTAGAAATGGTTGAAAAATTGCATACTTGAGGTAGTTTTCTCCCAACGCTTGTTTGCAATATTGGTACTTCTTTTGAAATAATGAGCTTAATGTTTGTGGTTATCATTTCTGGAAACCCTCACGAGACTTCACTCGTCCACTAGGGGTAACCTAGGGGTTTGAAAGGCTTATTCCATATGCTAAATGCAATCGTGTTCCCTACGATAGTGGCGTTATCCATTTATTGCTTTCTAGATTCATAGTTGTATAGTCGTATAGTTGTTTATTTCATTCATTTACTTTATAGTTCATTGCTAGGGACTAGCAATATTTAAGTTTGGGGGTGTGATGAGCGCTGAAAAATGCGCATTTAAACCCCTTAAGCGTAGGTATTCTAGGATCTTTATCTATCTTACTTTCCCGTTTTAGACTAATTTCGTGATATTGTCCTTTTTAGGTGCTTATCCCCAAAATAAGCTAATTTAGTCAAATAAGAGCTTAAAAGAAGCTAACTCAAGTTGGATGGAAAAAATGAGCAAAGTGGAAGCAGAATGAAACAAAGTGTGGAAATCAGCATGTTCGATCGTTCTCAAGAATACTTTGATCAATCGAAAGTTCATCGATCTAGACTCTCCAAGATGGATCCAAGCTCTTTTGTCCTTATCCAAAGATCCCACAAAGTTCGATCGATCCAACAATTCTCAGATCGATCGAAAAGATTCCATTTTATCCTGTTGTACCACCCCACTTACCACTTTTGTCTCTTTCCCCAAAATATCTCAGATCTGTCCTTATCCAAAAAGGCGCTGCCATGGGAGGATTGATCCAGCCAAAGTTTAATAGATTTCAGCCAAGTTCGATCGATCTCAGCATAGGTTCGATCAATCGAACCCTCTCAAGTGCGAATTAAATCAATTTCCAGCTCATTAAAAGTTGTCTCATGGTGCAATCATTGGAGGAGCCCTTGTGTACGAGCCTAGACCATTGGGTGTGACATTTGAGCTACCTATATAAGGATTATGAGCCACTTTTACACATATGCTTTGAGGAGTTGATAGAGATAATTTTTTATTATTCTTAGAAAGGAAGAAAAGAGAAGAGGAGGCTAGAGACACATTATTGGGAGGTCTTCCATCTAACTCAAGAAGAAGAGCATTTCTACCATGGAGAAAGCCCTTGAGGGGTGGAGGACACCATCCATGAGTGGCTAGATATCCTCTTGGGGCTAGAGTTAGCCCTAAGTATACTTTCTTTACCTTAATTTATGTATTTTTTAGGGGATTTGTGTTGTAATACATGTTTTGACATCTTTATATACATAGATCTTGTTTATTCAATGATTTGTGTGGTTTAATTCTTCCAATTGATCATTTTATTCTATCCATATGTCTATGTATGCTAGAATAGATGTTCATATGTTTATCTCTATCTCTTGTGTTGTTGATGCATGTCTATGTGTGTTAATGCATAGATCTAGAGATTGTCAAGACATAGTGCTTAATAGAATGCTCTTGTGGTTTATCTGATGGTTTATACTCATTTCTTGATGAATTGTGCCTCTCCCTTAGTTTAATTAGTTTAATTTTCATGTCATTAACTTAGATGTAGTGTAGTTACCTTAGTTGTTAAATGGGAGGACAATCCATGCTTGTTGTTTGATGTTCCATACTTGTGAATGCAAGTAGTATATTTCTCTAATTATGTGATGTGCTTAGATTGTGAGCTTAAAGAAGGATTAATGGCTTAGTTTGATATATTGTGTTATTCATTGTGTTGTTTAGACAATATATACTTAATTGGTCATCCATGCTTATTGAAACAACCACACACACTCACTATTGTTGCAACATATGTTTTCCCCCTCATTAATTGTGAATTGAGTGTATAGAAATGTGATGCTTAGTGGTGATCTCTAAGTCCCAAGACCTCTCTCTCTTGTTTTATGTATCCTTTAGTTACTAGTTTTATGTTAAGCTTGTTTAATCTTAATTGTAGTTTAATCAACCAAACAATCTACCTTTGATCACTCGACCTACTAACCCTAAGCATTGTTTCCATTACTAATAGCCCTCTAATCCCTTAGGACGATCCCTACTCACCCTTGTTACGTTAGTAGTAGTGGTTTTTATAAATTTAAACTTGACCCAAAATGTTTTTCTTGTACCGTGCATTCACTACATTATTTTGGCATATAGGAACGGCCACCGTCACTCCTCTCCAAGATTGTGTATATGTCTATTATTGTATATGTGTAAAATGGCTCAAAATCCTTATATAGGTAGCTCAAGTGTCACACCCAATGGTCAGGTCTCGTGCACTAAGGCCCTTTCAATGATTGCACCATAAGCCATCTTTTAATGAGCTGGACTCTGTTTTTTTTTTTTTCCGAACTTGAGGGAGTTCGATTAATCGAATTCTGATGAGATCGATCGAACTATGGCCAGATCAATCAAAGTATGGTCAGATTGATTAAACCTTGGCAGCGCTTTTTTGGAATAAGACATATCTGAGATATTTTTGGGATATTTTGGGAAAAAGACAAAAGTGGTAGGTGGGGAAAAGATCAAAGAAGTTTGATTGATTGAAAGGAAAGTTAGATCGATCGAAGATGGTACTTTGGTGAGGAAAATGACAAAAGGCTCGATCCATCTTGAAATGGTTGGAACGATCACTGTGAGATCGATCTGGGCTTGGTCTGATCGATCGAAACTTGCTGTTTTCCACCACTTTGATTCCACTTTGCTCATTTCTTCCATTTAGCTTAAGATTGCTTCTTTTATGCTCTAATTTGGCTGAATTGACTTATTTTGGGGATAAACGCCTAAAAAGGGCAATAACATGAAATTAGTCTAAAACGGGAAAATAAGATAGATAAAGGATATAAAATACTCGAGCTTAAGGGGTTTAAATGAGCACTTTTCAGTGCTCATCAACGCCTCTTAAACGAATGTTTATGAAAGCTTAATAATGAATGTGATGTATTTTAGAAACGACACTTCAATTTAAGGGGTATTTATGTCATTTTATTCATGGGATGTTTATATGTTGTTTTGTATATCTTATCAATGTTTCGAGATAATTTTATGACCAATTGGGAGGACCAAGGGGGTTCGGGAATTATTTCGCAATTCATGGCATTGAAATTGTCTCCCAGGTCACTTCTCGGTCCGATCAATTGGATTTTCCCATACTTAGAAAAATTTCCAACAACCCAATATTCACCTCTTGGTCCAATCAATCGGATTTACCCATACTTAAAGATTTTTTAAAAAAAATGAAATATTTGTTCACCCGAAATTGAAATAGTCATAACGTACTTTTTCATTTCTAATCTGAATAGGGTTATTGTGACGGCCCAAGTCTTTACAACCCGGTGCGTCAGTGATGACCTTAAGTTAACCTGATAACGGATCCGAAATGCGGAAGTGAAAGATAAAACCAAGGTCTCTAGAGATATAACTTATCTTTAAGACACCAAAGTGACCTTCTATGACGTCGTAAAACTTAAAAAGAACGAAAAAGAAAATGAGAGTCAAAACGGTCAAAATCCGTTAATCAAGGGTAAAATGGTCAATTTAAAAAAAAAAAAAAAGAAACTTGACTCTAAATAAGTCAAATGAGGTGAATACAACCTAAAATAATCATTTTACAACATTCCAAGAGATTCTAAGAACTTTGGCCAAGAATCCCACAAAACACCCATTCCTGATTCAAGCAAAATATGATACTATCACACTAAAACATGAATAACTCTCATTGTGATTTGAATTTGAGAATTAAATTAGTACCATTGGAAATCTGACTCAAAATCCTTGAATTTAGGCTTAAAAATCACCCCATTTGGATTAGAAATGAAGAAGTTATGGCTATTTGAAGTCAGATGAACAAGGCTGAAACAAAACTGAAGTAGCAGATCTGTGTGTGCTATTTAGGTCGACCGAAATGGACCCAGAATCACCAAAAATCTGAAAAATGAAAGGAAATCACTTAGGTCAACTGAAATGAAGAATCGGTCAACCGAAATAAACCCAAACAGTGCAAAAGCTACTGGAAAATGAGTTTTTACTGTTCAAATGAATCCCAAAAGCTATCGGTCGACCAAAGTGACATTTCGGTCGGCCAAAATGACTCGAGAAGGTGCTGAAAGACTTGCTACACACCAGAATTGATGAGGCTTTACCCAAGCCTCAACCCCCATCATGAAATGGTCCAAAAACAAAGTTTTAAAGCTGTGCAAACATGCCAACAAACGTACTTTACCTATTGAAATGTGTTACAATGGCCCATGGCCTTAATGCATGATAATTTCACAAAATCATATGCCAAACCTCTAATACTTGTAAAAAGTTATTTCAAAAGTAAAAATAAGGAACTAAATGGCAAATTGTAAACTATAAGGTAATTGGCCATTGGCCACAAATCATACATACCAAGTAGATTCCAAATAGTGTATCTAAGTACACTTTACATATTATAAGGCAAAAACGACATATTGAACCCAACTAAGTATCACAATTTTATAAGCAAAACATAAACATACTAACACTTGCATGTGAACAAGAATACATTAAAAGTACTTCAAATTTACAAATCACCCAAGGCAAATGCAAATTCCCAAATCTTGAATCCTATACCTGAAAAATGTCTCTGATAACTTTGGGGTGAGCAACATAAAGCTACTAGTAGGAGATGAGTATGCATAGACCTAGCATTTTACAATATCATCACCTTAAAGTGAAACATGTTAAAGGGGCTCATGCCACCTAACGTCTATGTCAAAGTGAGATTCAGGGATCATCCTAAGTTACATAGACGATTGAAATGAAATACACAACGTGCAAGCATACTGGGTACAAGTGTAATAAACGAAATTGAAAACATACGAGGCAAGTATATAAAACACAAGTATACTAAACGGGATCGGAAACACACAAAGCAAGTATATGAGACACAATTATACTAAATGGAATCTAGATACAAGAAGCAAGTGCACACTTTCAAGTATGCTAAATGAGATCTAAATATACGAAGTAAGCATAATGTCTATGCAATTAAACAAGGTAGGAAATACTCTATATAACACGACAAGGTTCTTAGATCTTCAAGAGATAACACTTCAAATCTAAAGGTTTAAAGATTTTGCATGTTGATATAAATCATTACATGTGGTCCATGCCACCTAGAATCTAACTCAAGTTACATGTATAGGATCATTCCTAAGTCACGATAGCATAAAGTAACATGAAACGAGATAACTAAGAAAATTAACATGATTGAAAAAATTCGATTAACACGACAAGGATAAGGTGTGAAATCAAAGATAATGCATAATATATATGCAATGTAACACGAAAAGGTCTTAAATCTTCAAGGAATACAACACTTGAAATTTAAGGAGTGAAAACCAGGATGAAGCATAAAATCTATGCAATGAGACAAGGATGGAACAGTTCATATAACACGAAAAGGTTTCTTAAGTCTTCAAGGAATGGACACTTGAAACTTAAGGATGAAATCAATGACATGAAAATCAATGACATGAAAATGTTCTTAAGTCTTCAAGGAATAGACACTTGAAACTTAAAGATGAAATCAAATAATGTGGATACTCGGATATCGCCCGAATTAAAACCGTACTCTTGGGATCACTTTAGGGCTACTAACCCATGAGTACCTTCCCCTAGTGCGCACTATAATGTAGGGAGCTTTCTATCTCCCGTACTAAAACCAAGTCCTAGTCATGTCAATTCTTGATTGATATCGCTGAGTTTTCAAAATCAACAATTTGTGCAAGTCAAGATAGTATCAAGATACAAGTAATGCATTAAACCACGTTCCATTCACAACTAAGATTATGGAAACACACAAGTCATACCCTCAGTCCTTAACTATAATGGCATATGAAATGTCAAGAAATCATAGTGTGCATCTATATAGACTACAACTAAGATATATAGCACATGGAATCCATTAATGTAAATATATCACAAGTATAAGACACATTATTTAATTATTTGTTAAACAACGCATGAATAATTAAACCATTCTAAGACAATTGTGTAAGTCCATTAACTACATTAATGAAACCAAGATACAAGAGGTCATGATGCATGATAAAAAGGTAAAAGCCCCATGAAATACAAATCCAATTCATAAGTTTGATAAGGGTTCAATATTAAAGCATAATTAACTCGATGGAAGTATAAAAGGAAATTTAATCAACTTAAAGGATTTAATTCTCAAGGCTACAAGGCAACTCTAAATATTCTACGAACAAGATATGTCAAGGATCATGTCAAGGACAAGTTTAATATCAAGTTATAAGTTCATTCCATACAAGATGCAACCATGTGAATTAAATTCCATACAAAGAAAATAATTAAACATAAGTCTCAAAACTTATCCGATTATTCTCTATTTGATATACGTGAAAGAACTTGTCAAGGTAATTAAGAATATCAAGTTAGAAACTTAATCAAGTCTATGGAACCATTGAATAGATTTTAATTAATTCCTTTAATTAAAATCTCTAGATTTTGAAACTCATCCAAATGCTCTCAAATTAAAGTATGTTATTAAACATGTCAAAACTTAATAGCATAATACAAATGAATTCCATGCAAGATACGACCATGAGTAGTAAACCTTAATACAAGAAAATAATTAAATGAAAGGTTTTCAAAACCTAATCAAATATTCTCGATTTAATATATATGAAAGTATATGGCATGCTCATCAACAATATCAAGTCGGAAATCCAATAAAGTGAATAGTACACTTGGAATGAAATTAATTAATCTAATTAATTAATTATTACTAGATTTTAAAATATCTCCGATTACTCTCAAATTCACATATGTTAAAGTGTATGATAGGGCCTAATTTAATATCACATTACATGTTGATTTCAAGCTAGATACAACCATATGAATTAAATTTTCATTCAAGAAAATAATTAAATAAAAATTTCTATACTTGTCCAAATGCTCCCAATTTAATTAATATATGCCAATGAACAAATTAAAGTGTAATTTAATAGCATGCCACAAGTTTAAACCAAGCTATAACCAACCGGAAGAATTAAATCTCATACAAGAAAATAAATAAATAAAGTTTCTAGATTTAATACAAAGGCATGTGATTAAGTTGTGTAAGCATGGAATACACTCAATATAATCAAGATATAAACCTAAGACATCCTCTACCTCAATTTGAGATGAAATCTCAAATCCCCACCGAAAGAAAAGTGCTCTGAATCCGACGATACTCCTAGGTTATGTCGGGGACAACGAGAGGAATAACTTGAACCTTTGAGGCATCATGAAAATCCAAACCCAAACTCGAAACCCAAACTAAAAATTGGTCGGAAATGGTTTCTAATAAGGGGGAAAGGTGCGCGTCGTCAAAGCTTCGATAAACGCTAAGGCATTATGATATTTTACACGAGGGAAGAGAGCTGAAATGAAAGAAGAAGAGGGGAAGCCATGGCTGCCATGAAAGAGATGATGAAAATCTGATTTTTCATTTTAAGTCATTCTATTTATAGTAAAAACCCTAAAAGTGCCTTGAAAGGGCCCCGCCAGGTCCGGAAAAGTGGAATTCGCGCAGATGCACTCAAACGGTAAAACACCATGAACAAAAAAGAACTAAAATGAAAAAAAAAATGAACAACAGAAGAAAGGCGTTGATAACCGAGTCCCGTGCAGGAAGATATGCCCCGGACAAGTTCAATGGCAATCAGGGTTAGAAATCCCTAAAACTGGGAAAAACGTCCAGGAGGAAATTCTAAGAGTTCATAAGTTGACGAAAAGTGAAAATGAACCCCGTACAAGGATCCAGGCTCAAAACGAGACATTTTTACAATAACTTTCGTTAATTGCACAATGACCCTCCAAAAATGGTTAACTACATTAATAACCCAGAATAAAAATATTTTCCAAAAATATTTTCTTAAAAACCCTTGAAATAAAATATCTCCAAAAGATATTTATGAAAAACACCCCAAGAAAAGAAAATATTTCTGAAGAACTTTGCATCCATGCCCCTATAGACATTAGGAGCAACCAGAGTACTTTTCTACAAAAGTAAAGATATGTATTTCATGAAAACCACTTAGAATGAAGGTACATGAAGTCAGAAATCAATTCCGAGCACGAAAAATGAGGTTGTGCCAAAAAATGACAAACGGGGAAAAAGACGAAAAATGAATAGTGTCTAAAAAGTGAAAATGTGGAAATGACTCGGTCCTTAAAAGAAGTTGTCAATCCAAAGGAAAGAGTCTCGGAAACCATTTTCAAGCACTCGAGATGGCACCAAGTGATGAGAAACAGAACTCAGAAAAGAAAATTAAACGGAAAAATTTTATCCGTAAAATTTGAGGAAAAGGAAAGAAGGGAAAATGACCAGGTCATTACAGTCATTCTTAAGCCCAGACTATATGATTTTGAGTCCTCTCTCCATTAGTATTGGTCATATTTTATAATTATGACTTGAAATGACCGTTTTACCCTTATCAGCCCTAGGGTCTCGAAAAGAACCCGAAGTCGAATCTACCACATTTTTAGGATATGATGTGGTTAGAAACAACCAGTATGAGTTCATTATGACTCTTACCCATGGTGTTCATGGGTCCGCTTAGAGACCCGGTTAGTGATTCAGATCTATTAGTTTTCTTTACAGATTTGGTATCATAGTTTTAGGTTTAAAAACTTAAAGACGAAGGGTAGGGTTGACCTAGATAGGATTGAAGTTTGGCTTGACTACATTGCATACTTATGTGTTTATTGGTTCTTGAGTTTAAAGGCATGCCGAATGGCTATGTGCTTATGTGTAAATGGTTTACGTGATAAATGAAAGTAATTAGTCTTTCGAAGCATGATTAATAGATTGCGTATCTATTTGCTGAGTTGTTTATTATTAATAAAAGCATGTTTAATGTGTTGCGCGCTTAATTGTTCAATTGGCTATTGATGACGAAAGTATGTTGTAAATGTGACATAGCAAGTGGTTGAATATGATTATGTAAGCTTGTTATGCATGGAAAGATTATTAAGATGAGCGTGATGTTTATATATATACATATATACACATGGGCGAGCATTTGTTATGGTTAAGTACTTTGTTACGATGTTGTTTATTGTGTGGGTTGTGACCTCAGTAAGTGTGGAGTTTGGTCGTTCTTAAGTTAGTATGTGTTTTAGTTCTTATTGAACAAATGGTGTGGGTTCCCTAGCTCATGGATTGAGCTATTTGATGTGTCGTCATTTAGATTCTGTTGTTGTTTCTACATTATGGTGCGTGGGGCACGACCATAGAATGAGTGCATGTTGCATAACACGATGTTCATGTTATGCGTTTGAGTGCATACTACATAGTACGGGATAATTGATTATGTGCATGTGTCTTTGCATTGGGGTATGGGGTCTTGTGACTACGGAGATCAGGATTACGATGTGACATCTTTATAAGGGACTTGTGATTTTAAGGATTTTGTGCCAATGCTTTAGGTTACGACTTGGTGTGACGGTTTTCTTCGAACTAGTTTGTGGTAGGTGTGATAGAGATTGGTGGAGTCACGAGTGTGGTCTAAGAATTATGGGTGTATGTTTCGTGTGCCTAAGCATGGTTCGATGAGGTACACGAAATTTGAACCGAAAAATTACACTTTCGATTCCACCTTAACATCACGAAGAACCCTTCAATTCCACTTTTGATTTTGATCTTGAAATTTGAATCGAAAAATTACAACTCAATCTAATTTGTTTTGATAATAAAATTTACCAATTACAAATTTATATCTCACATACGTTTCCAAAAAAAAAAAATCCCTAAGTTTAAATACAATCAGTAGGATATAAATAGTCACCCTAACTTGAAAATTGACCATTCCACACACGAGGTGAACTCATTTGCATAAATATTTTGAGCTCCGTACTCTAACAGACAAAACAAAAGCTTCACCTAAGTGGAGATTTGTGGACGACCTTCTTTTCACGTAATGAAATCCAAAGCCACTCAAAAGTAGCTTTCAACCAAAACGGTCCAAGGAGATAATCTATGGTTGTTGGACAATTTACCTTCCGCTGTACACGTGGACTCCACTTGTATTATACTGTTTTCTACCAAAGCACCATGGAAATCTTAAAAATTGAAACGTGTAACATGTCCATGTTGATGACTTTGACTAAAAGTTGATGTGTGTGTGTGTGTGATGTGCGAACCAGAAACATACACCTCACATATGGATTAGTGGTGGGACAACATATACCCCTCCTCAATCATTCATGGGTTGTGATATAATTCGTTCGGCGGAGGTCGAAGGGCCTCACTGTAGACCCACTGAGAGAGAGGGAGAGAAGGAGATGGGAGAAATTAAACATTTCAGCCATGAACATGGTTTGACATCATGTAGTGATCTTGCGTGTTCTGGTAATTGTGGTGGTTGTATGAGACGCATCTCCGGTCCGGCCTATCGTTGCTCCAAGGAGTGCAACTTTTTCATCCACCAATCGTGTGCTGAACTGCCACGAGCCATAACACACCCCCTTCACCCCCAACACACTCTCGTACTTCACACCCAAACGGACAAACGCCGGGCCTGCCGAGGGTGCCATGCCTGTGGCTGCTACAGCCATGGCTTCTTCTTGTGTTGTTCTATTCCTGATTGTCAATTTCAACTTGATGCCGTATGCGCTTGGCTGATACCCAAAAAAGACCATGAAGGCCGTCATGAACACAAGATCAATTGTATTAGTCCAACTTCACAATCACTGATTCAAACGCATCTCTTGATCCTTTGCGATATGAGTAAGAATTTTGATCTTTTATGTTGTGCTTGCAAGCTACCTTTTCAAGATTCGATCTATGTGTGCCTTGTATGCAAACTCTTGCTGCACAAAACCTGCTCCGAATTCCCACTAGAGATCTTCAAACACCCCTTCCACCCACAACACACACTCACCCTCCATTCAAGAGAAGGCAGTCATGCACACACGTGTCGTGCTTGTGGCTACGGTCAAATGCAATTCTTCTACAGGTGTGTTGATTGTCCATTTAAGCTGGACATTGTATGCTCTTCTCTAACACTCACCACAAACCCTGAAGGTCACAAGCATCATATTCAACATCTGGGCCGAAAGCATCGCTTGATTATTTGTGATATGAAGTTCAAATTTAATCCTTCTTGCGCTGTTTGCTTGCTACCTTTTCAGGATTCGATGATTTATGTCTGTCTTAAGTGCAGAGTTTTGCTGCACAAATCATGTTTTGAATTGCCACGAAGGATCACACATCATCCCTTTTGGCCAAAATACAATTTCATCCTCTTAGATCGACCGGTTCATAAGGGATCTCGAGACTGCGGGGTATGTGAAGAGTCAATTGATTATGGTTGTTCATACTGTTCTGAATATTGTGATTGTGAATATTGTGACAATAAACCAGGATTTTTTGGAAAAGTCTTTAGGTTTATTGAGTCCAGGGTCTATATTCATGCCAAATGTGGTTTACTAAAGCCCACCATAATGTCTAATCTTCACGATCACCCTCTTGCTTTCATCAAGAAGAAGGGATCATTTGGTAACTGTAAATGCAAGATTTGTGATGGGTATATCGACAAGGCTTTTCTTCGTTGTGAGACCAGCTGCTATTACAGTATCCACGTTCGTTGCTATCCAGCATTGCCAAACACCATCAAACTTCAATATCACTTGCATCCCCTCACCATCACAAATTCTCTGGTCAAAGACTTTCCGGATGAAGATGAGAATGCAGAATTATACTGTGATGCTTGTGAGGAAAGAAGATACCTTCTACACCCTACCTACTATTGTGCTGAATGCCATTTTGTTGCTCATGTTGATTGCGACTGTGTGGTCTCTGAGGTATGCCCACATTTGATTTTACATAATTTAAAACTCTAAATGAAAATTCAGACATGTTTTTTTGAGGGCACGCCAATACCCTTCCTTTTTGCCCTTTTAATAAAAGACCCTCACCTCGCTAAGTACCCCTTTTTTTCCTAGTATGGTACTAATTAAGGTTTTATTTCCCCTGTGAATTGTTGTTGTAATTCCCATACTTTTGAACAACTTTTCTCATCAAGTAATTCAAGTTTTCTCTCATAAGCTTAGTGGATTTCGGGGTTCATTGGTTCTTTATTCATATAATACTTTCAGTCTAGATTCACTTCTCTCTCTTTTCTTTTTTATTTTACTAAATCAAACTTTTCTCCATTCATTTCCCTCATTCCTTCGGATATATCTCCAACTAACATCTAAATATAAATTTTGGATTCTTACCAGGTTGTACATTTGCTAGAGGAAGAGTGGTTCAATACCCGCAAACCTGGGGACACAAAGTCAGGCACATCAACTGATGCGGTTGAAGATAGTGCAGAGATGGATAGTTCAAGTGAAGATAGTGATATGGCTGACGAGAACACTTGTGAAATAGATACTGATTCTTTGAGAGGGAAGCTGGGTAGTGCAAGGGAAGATGATTTGGTTAGGAATACTGAAAATTGGTCTTTTGTGGAACTAAAAGAAGAGATAGCAATGCTTCGTCAAAAGGTGATCAGAGATGTTGGAAGCTCTACCCTTGTTAAACTAAATGAAGAGATAGCAGCAGTTCGTACAAAGGCAGAGGCACAAAAGGCACAACTAGAGATTGTGGTGCAAAACTTTAAGGCACTTGAGGAAGAGAGCTCAAGACTTTTTAATAGTTTCTAAAGTTAGTCCTACCAAAAATTGTTAATAAATGCAGAGGAAATCTTTTTTATGCAAATGGAAAAGGTGAAATGGCTGAAGGAAGGGGGACCAAAATAACTCATTTTTCAGCAAGAATTTCTCAAGTAGATCAGACAGAAGGTAGTCGCTTTGAATCAAAAAGTCGAGAAATAATATTGGATTATTTGTTTAGATTTTTTTAAATTTCAAGTTAGGGAATTTTCCCGACATCATTTCCTTTATTTTATCATATGTTTAGACATTTAGTTTGAATTATGTAGCCTCTCATTATGTATATGTACACTTGTGTAGAGTAAATGGGGACATAGGAGACATTTTAAGCTTACTCTTCTGTGTTTTTTTTTCCCCCGCATTTTGCAAACTTTAGCTAAGGTTTTGATCTAACTACACTTGGAGTTCTAAATTTTAGTGGGTTTAGATTTCAATTCGTGCACTTTCATCTTGGGACACTTTAAGGTAGGATGTCGAACTAAAATAGGAAATGGTTATCTTAATTGCTTGTAATCTTGTTGCTATGTTAGTATTTGATGATACAAATTGTATAACTCCATGAAATTACCCCCTTTAGGTAGAATTGCACAATAGCCTGTCTTAGTGAACTATAAATTGTGTGAATTGCATTGTAGTATGCCTATTTATTGTCGATCCTAGTATAAAGTTGGTTACTAGCATGTTAATTGACATATTATTCATTCATGAAGCTTTAATTAGAACTTAGTGCGTGCAATTGTGATGGATAAGGTATTTAAAGTGCTGTTTATGTATATTGCCTGTGATGATAGTGTAATTGTCACCTCTAATGTGTTGCAATTGGTCTCGTTTTAAGCAAATTGAATTTACTTATGAAGTAGCATTACAGTTATTGATTAAACTGCCTATTAGAGCGTATTATTGTTACTTGTGTGTTTGGCAGCTAGCATGTACTAATCCTAGAGTCTTGGTACTTTGAAGATGATCATAATGAATTGAAGCATGATTGTATCATCCTCATTACACACCATGTGTTGCATAGGGTGAGTGTGTGGTGGTGTATGTGGATGGGTGTTAATTTTTCAAGTTTGTGGGAAAAGGTTTCCCAAAATGGATATTGGGGAGCGTACCTCATATCCGTTGTGTGTTAGCCAACTCGATCATAGTGGCACGGGGAGAGTACTTCGTGTATGGTTGTGTTATCTGGGCCACAAAGGATATTGGGGAGGTACCCCATATCTTGACTGTTAACCAGTTCAGCGTACTACACAACCGGTTGTGTTAAAGAAAATTTCGGTGTTGTGTGGATGTTGGCCTACATGTGTGAATCCGTGGTGCACAAACATACATTCTAGCATGATGTTAAATTTTACTTTCTTTACTAATTGGTTCTTATATGCTAACATGGATATGTGAATGTACTTCAATAAAAGCAATTCTTATAACTTGCTACATTATCTGTGTTGAACTCAAATTCTAATTTTTAGCATGATTTTTAACCATGTCCTCATTTTGTGCATACTGTGACTACTTGAGCATGATTTACTTAGCCTTGGGAAATTTCTGGTAATGGAAAGGAGGTGGAGGGTAGTTCACAAACCCAAGCTTGAAGCAGCTTAGTGAAGTTTTTTAGATGTCATTCTTGTCGTTGCTAGCATATGTGCTTCCTACTTTGTCAAACTTGTTCTATGTGTATAGTGATGTAAAGTCTTGGGGTGGGATGTAATGCTAGCTTGTACCATTTTGCTACCTCAACCTCATTTTGGGAAGAAACTTGTATATTTTATAGTGTTTATCTTGGCATCTTTGTTCCTTTTGAAAATTGTATAAATTTGTGTGGTATGTGGATGATGTACTTGAAGCCGTGTAGGCTAAGCATGTCCCATGTATATTTTGGGTGTTGTATTTGGATTTGTGGTTCATGGCATGATAATTGGTGTTTGGTACTGATGGTTGTCAACTAGGGCTGGTAATAGTGTTGAGTTTGAGGACAGTGATGGTTTAAGGTGCTGTTGATTTAGGTGATGAACAGTAGCAGATGGATTTAGTATGTGGTAAACAAGGACAAAGAACACCATCGATCCTTTGCTTTGATACCATGTAGAATAGATACAAGTAGAAATAAGATAAGAGTAGGAGAAGAGAAGAAGAATTTAGAGAGTATGAGAACAGAACTGAGTTTATATTTCATTAATCTCAAACTAATACTGAAATATATGCCTATTTGTAGTCATTTAGCACAAAAAATATCAAGGCAAACAATCAAAATACATTGAATCAGCTTTGTACATCTTCTGTCCAGCTTGCAAAACATGAACCCAACTTGTTCCAGCTTGCAAAATGTGATTCCAGCTTTAGGGTAGCCTCCTACGCCTACCGTAGGCCCTTAACCAGCCTTAGGGTCTTCATCACTACACTTTGGTTTATCTTGTATTACCCATTTTCTGTTGGGAGACTATATAAAAGTTTTGAGCTCTCTTTCTCAAGTGCTTCAGTGTGTTGAAGCACAATCTGTAGTTGTGCTTTCTGTGCCTCTACCTTTGCACGAACTGCTTCTATCTCTTCATTTAGTTTAACAAGGGCAGAGCTTCCAATCTCTCTAACCACCTTTTGACGAAGCATTGCTATTTCTTCATTTAGTTCAACAAAACCCAAATTTTCAGTATCCCTAACCAAGTCATCTTCACTTGCACTATCCAGCTCTGTTCTCTCAAGCTCTGCTCTCGAAGAATCAGTGTCGAAATCAAAATCGTGCTCTTCAAACACATCAGTGTCTTCACCTTCACTATCCATCTCTGATCTCTCCATCTCTGCACTATTTGTATCTTCAACCACATCATCATCAGTTGATGTGTCTGACTTTGTATCTTCAACCACACCAGTTGATGTGTCTGACTCTGTATCCCCAGGTTTGCGAGTATTGGACCACTCTTCCTCTAGCACACGTACAACCTGGTAAGAATCCAAAATCAAGTCAATAATTTTTATTTAGATGTTAGTTGGAGATACATCTGAAGGAATGAGGGAAATGAATGGAGAAAAGTTTGATTTAGTAAAATAAAAACGAAAAGAGAGAGAGAATTGAATCTAGCCTGAAAGCATTATATGAATAAAGAACCAACGAACCACGAAATCCACTAGGCTTATGAGAGAAAACTTGAATTACTTGATGAGAAAAGTTGTTCACAAATATGATAATCACAACTATTCACAGGGGAAATAAAACCTTAATTAGTATCCTACTAGGAAAAAAGGGGTACTTAGCGAGGTGAGGGTCTTTTATTAAAAGAGAATTGCTAAACACGTATTTCACAAATTTAATTATTATTTGTGCTTTTGGCGGTCCAGACTATCTATATATAATCTAGTGCTAATTGCTAAACATGTATTTAAAGGTTGAAAATGTAAACTCAAATGTGGGCATACCTCAGAGACCACACAGTCGCAATCAACATGAGCAACAAAATGGCATTCGGCACAATAATAGGTCGGGTGTAGAAGGTATCTTCTTTCCTCACAGGCATCACAGTATAATTCTGCATTCTCATCTTCATCCGGAAAGTCTTTGACCGGAGAATTTGTGATGGCTAGAGGATGCAAGTGATATTGAACTTTGATGGTGTTTGGCAATGCTGGATAGCAACGGACGTGGATACTGTAATCACAGCTGGTCTCACAACGAAGAAAAGCCGTGTCGATATACCTATCACAAATCCTGCATTTAGAGTTACCAAATGATCCCTTCTTCTTGATGAAAGCAAGAGGGTGATCGTGAAGATTAGACATTATGGTGGGCTTAAGTAAACCACATTTGGCATGAATATAGACGCTAGACTCAAAAAACCTAAAGATTGTTCCAAAAAATCCGGGTTTATTGTCACAATATTCACAATCACAATATTCAGAAGAGTATGAACAACCATAATCAATTGACTCTTCACATGCCTCGCAGTCTACAGATTCCTTAAGAAATGGTTGATCTAGCCTGAAATTGTATTTTGGCCAAAATGGATGATGTTTGATCTTTCTTGGCAATTCAAAACATGATTTGTGCAGCAAAATTCTGCACTTAAGACAAACATAAATCGTCGAATCCTGAAAAGGTAGCAAGCAGACAGAGCAAGAAGGATTAAATTTGTACTTCATATCACAAATAATCAACCGATGGTTTCGGCCCATATGTTGAATACGATGCTTGTGACCTTCAGAGTTTGTGGTGAGTGTTAGAGAAGCGCATACAATGTCCAGCTTAAATGGACAATCAACACACCTGTAGAAGAATTGCATTTGACGGTGGCCGCAAGCACGACACGTGTGTACATGACGGCCTTCTCTTGAATGGAGGGTGAGTGTGTGTTGTGGGTGGAAGGGGTGTTTGAATATCTCTAGTGGGAATTCGAAGCAGGTTTTGTGCAGCAAGAGTTTGCATACAAGGCACACATAGATCGAATCTTGAAAAGGTAGCTTGCAAGCACAACATAAAAGATCAAAATTCTTACTCATATCGCAAAGGATCAAGAGATGCGTTTGAATCAAGGATTGCGAAGTTGGACTAATACAATTGATCTTGTGTTCATGACGGTCTTCTTGGTCTTTTTTGGGTGTCAGCCAAGCGCATATGGCATCAAGTCGAAATTGACAATCAGGAATACAACAACACAAGAAGAAGCCATGGCTGTAGCAGCCACAGGCATGGCACCGCCGGCGTTTGTGCGTTTTAGTGTGAAGTACGAGAGTGTGTCGGGGGTGAAGGGGGTGTGTTATGGCTCGTGGCAGTTCAGCACACCATTGGTGGATGAAAAAGTTGCAGTCCTTGGAGCAACGATAGGCCGGACCGGAGATGCGTCTCATACAACCATGACAATTACCAGAACACGCAAGATCACTACATGGAGTCAAACCATGTTCATGGCTGAAATGTTTAATTTCTCCCATCTCTCTCTTCCTCTCTCTGTCAGTCGAACAAATTATATCTCAAACCATGAATGATTGAGGAAGGGAAAAATGTTGTCCCACCATTAATTGGTATGTGAGGTGTATGTTTGTGGTTCACACAAATGAACTTTTTGTACAAACCCACAGGAGATCGGAATTCGCGTCTTGAATTTCCCAAAAAAAAAAAAAAAATGTCGCACTAGTCTCCGCAAAAAATATTTTTGGTTCAAGTGGTAAACAAAGAATCCAACAACCATGAATTACATCTTGGACTGTTCTGGTTGAATAATTGAATGCTACTTTTACTGAGGCTTTAGATTCCATTATGTCAAAAGAAGGTGGTCCACAAATCTTCAGTTTGGTGAAGTTTTTGTTTTGTTTGTTAGGCTTCGTTTGGATATACGGGTTGAGGGAGAAAGGAAAAAAAAAGAAAAGTAAAGAAAAGAAAAAATAGATATAATAATATTCATGTTTGGTTGGATAGGTGAGAAAAGAAATGAATAGGTAATATTTTTGTTTGGATGGATAGAAAAGAAAAAAAAAAAAAAAAGAATGAATAATTTATCATTTTACCCTTTTCTGAATCAAGCTTGCCCCTTCTCTCAAGGTTGCTTTTGTAATTTGCTCTATTTCTCTCCAAATCCTTCCAAACAAACACACTCATCACTATTGTAATACTTCGATATTTTTAAAGGATTAATTAATTATGACTAATTATTTTATTTTATTTTTCAATGATTTATTTTATTTTATTGAGTGCTAGATTAATTATCTTATTTTAATTAAGTTATATTTCGTGATTATGTATGATGATTGATTGTTTGTGTGGTTAATTATTGATTGAATTATTGGTGTGTTGATTTTATTGGTATTGTGTGACTTAGTTGTAAATTCTTGTTTGTTTATGTGCTTTATGTAATTAGTTATTTTAATTTCAGTATTTAATTAATTATCTTATTTATTTAAATTAATTGGATTGGGTTTAAGGAAAGTTGGACCAAAAGACGTGGTCTTGGGCTTGTATGAAACCTTATTGGGTTAATTAATGAAGGCCCGTAATTATTTAATTATTTAAATGATCACTTTTTTGTATTAATTATAAATATATATATATATATATATATAATTAATTAATAATTGTTATGAAAATATATATATAGATATATATTTATTGATATATATATGTATATATGATTTAATTAACTAATAGGTGAATTATGGAAGGAATATATATTTATATATATATGTAATATAATATATGTTTATAGATATAAATTATTTAAAGGTTATTATTTTAATTCATAATACTAGTTGGAATAGGATTTGGAATTTAAGGTGTATAAAAATACACATAAGCTTTAGGGTTAAAAGTTTTACACGTTAGAAAAATAAAATAGACAGAGAGAGAGGAAGAAGAAGGGCTGACAAGGAGGAGGTCAGATCTGAAAAGGAGGACGTCGGAATTGGAAGAGATAATTAAAGCTTGAAGCGTCGGTTTCGTTTCGAAACCTTCAGGTGAGTTTTCTTTATTTTTCCTCTTAGAACCTATAAGGATTGCACCTTAAGTATTAAAGCTTTAATTAAATTATTAATTTGGATTAATTAAAAGCATCAAGTTAATTTATTTTATTAAATCGTGTTTAGATATGATTATTTAAAAGTATGAATTATTATATATTTTTAATTTTGGATTATTGGATTTTATTTGTATATGTAGGTGTTGTATATATATATTAAAATCAATGTATAGGTGGAACTGTGACCTAAGGGGATTAATTTTGGTTTTTATATTTTCTGGAATTTTTCTGTACTTTTCAGAATATTTTTAGAATTTGTTTTGTAATTTTTTTTATATTCTGGAATTTATTTTAGAATTATTTTTATTAAATTTTAAATTAATTCTATGCACTATGTGTGAATCGGCGCATAAATCAGGAGATGGGTGATTCGAGATATGATCTAGTGTGGTAGAATGTATAGTAAAAGGTTACATCACTGATCTAGGCCATTGGAATAGTTTAAATATAAGTAGAATGATTCGGTGCATTACGGTGTACATAAAAGAGTGCGCATGTGAATCTGGACCATGGATTAAGTTTGGTCAACAGAAGATTGATCTAGTGTGGGTGCATACATGTGAGCTCAAGTGAGCTAATCTGGTGTGGGTGTGTTTGTGTGAGCTCAAGTGAGCTAATTAAGTGTGGGCGCACTCACAGTAGTGTTTGAGCTTAGCCAATTAATTTGTCTGTTTGTGACATAAAATTAAAACGGTCATAACTTAGTCATCTTAAATCGAAATTGGGTCATTCTTGAGCTCAAATTCAAGGTTTTTTCGTCCTCTTTCCAATGGTACCAATTTCATTATCAGATTCTCATCCTAATAAGAGATATTTACGTTTTAGTGAGACGGTGTCGGAAAACTATTTAAACCGGTATGGAGTATTTAGGGGAAACTATTTCTGACATATTTAGTAGCATTAATTTGTGTAAATATAATAAATTAATAATTTATTATGGAGGGAAGTGTGTGTATATATATATATATTTATATATGCGTATATATAGTTTAATTCGTTTATGAGTTGTATAAAATGATGAATATATGTATATATAGATATATATACATATATGTATATTGATTTTAAAAAAAAAAATTAAAGATTATTACGGAAGGTGTTAAACACACATATATATATTAAATAATATATGTGTAGGTATATATATAAATATATATCATTTAAAATGATTAATATTATCATTCTTATTTGTTGTATCTTGATAGGTTGATTATTAAATCAATAATATGCGTATAATATGCATGAGATAGTTATGTATGATTTAGCGTATTGTTAAGTTTCAAGTGATTCATGGTTAAGATGTAGGCATGGATGAATTGCCAAATGATTAAAAATATTACATAAATATTTGTATGAATATAATACATACATGGGACGCATGGATGAATTGCTAATTAAATGTATGAATAAATATACTTATGTAGGCATGGTTGAATTGCCAAAATATAAATTAAATATATTTATAAGGGCATGGTTGATTTATCAAAGCGTAATTAAATTGTTATGTGCTAGATGATTAAAATTCCATCTACGGTTATTGTGTGTATCAGTTGGATTAGGATTACATTAGAATAATCTAGTGTTTAAAGGTTAGTATATTATTTTATATATAGCAATAAAATAATACTGAGAGAGACGTGGATGATTTGTCAAAGCCTAGATATTAGCTGTGTGATTTAGTGAATAAAAATCATTATCGGGATTTGAAATTTAATATAATTTTCCTTTGATTATAATTGATTGTTTAAATGATTAAACAGTTGTCTATAATGGAATTATGGTTAATGGAGTTTCTTTTTAAAAGAAATATGAATTGTGAATTGGTCTTGGAATGATTGTTAATTTAATCATTGTTTAATAGTTTTAAATTTAATGAACCTAGTAGTAGATGTGACTAATGTAGTATATATAATTATATATATAGATGCATATCATGGTGTACTAAAGATAAAAGCTTTATTAGGATTGACTTTGGTCAGAGATGATCTTTTTATTGGTTTTCAGAGGCCTGGTAGAGAGAACTTGCTCGTAGGGTTTAACCTACGATTTATTTTTTCAGGCTATTAGAAGTTCCAATCTCGAGGTTGAGGATCCGCAACTGGGAGACTGTCTTTCATTTATTCATCTTGTGTACTTTTAAGTAGTATAAGATTATTGGATAATATTTTAAGGGGTCCTTGAGTTACGAGATTCCCGAATTGTAATTGTTGGAGAATTATTAATTAAAATTTATTTATTAGTTTTTCTTCAGCGGTTTATTTATTCTTTTTATTTCATTTTGTACTCTGTGCTTGTTTAAAATACTTTAATTGTTTTGATATCCTCTGGTTTTGTGCGCGGACTTGATCAACCCGTGTTCCGAAATCAGGGGGTATCACAACTATCCTTCCCTTTCTTTTCTCTCCAAATCCCTCTAAATCTCTCAACCAAACGAAGCCTTAGAGTTCAGAACTCAAAATATTTACGCAAATGAGTTCACCTCTTGCGTGAAATTAGGGGTGGCAATTCGTGTTCGTGGATCATGTTTGTGTCGTGTTAATATAAGAGTATTATACTAAATAGGTAAATCCAAATCTAACTCATTTAATAATCGTGTCAAGAATCCTCAAAACTAATTCAACCCGTTTATTAAACAGGTAAACGTGTTAACCAGTTTATTAATTTGTTTATCAAAACAAGACAGTTAATATTTAATCAAATACTAAATAATAGAAGAAAAAAAATTAACATAATTAACCCAAATATTCAAAATAAAAATAAAAATAAAAATCATAAAGTTTATGTTGAAATGACTTAACTATCCATAGTAATTGAGTTTAAACAGGTAACATATTACATAGGTCATATTTACTGTGACGACCCTTAATTTTTACAAACCCAGCGTGTCCTGTGATAACGCAAAACGGATTCAAAATGCGGAAACTTAATATAAACAAGTCTATAGAGATGTACATCATCCCTAAGACACGAGAGTGACCTTCCGAGGAGTCCCGTGACTCAACGGAAACAAGACCAAAGTAAGAGTTTCAAAACCCTCCAAGGAATGGACCAAGGGCAAAATGGTCATTCCAAACTGAAATTGTTGGAGTTGCACTACACAATCAACCGGATTTGATACCAATTGTTGTGGCGAAAACGCAAAATAAACAACGCTTCTCAAGGAATAAACAAGCAATAATGAAAAATAAATAAAAAATACTCGCAAGAACACAAGATATACATGGTTCACCCAAATCTTAGGGCTATGTCCATGGAGCACACTGAACAAATTCACTATGAAGAAGATGAAAAATTACAATGAATAATTTTCTCTCAATCTCTTTCAATTGCTCTCTCTTGTATTGGCACAAATTTATCTCTAACTCTCACACACTCTAAAATCTGATTAGAGTTGATATTTATAGAGTCCCAAACTTGTCCTACAAGAATTGTCTTTTGTAGAATCCAAAACCAATAAGGAAGCTAAATCAGATTAGGAAACTGAATTTTTCTTAAACCAATAAGGAAGTTAAATCAGATCAAGAAACTGAATTTTCCCTAAACTAA